AATCTGTTGCTATTCATTTATTACTGTCCAGACATGAGGGCGGCGGGATGAAATAGAAATGAGAGGTGGTAGCTCATTATACTATAAAAAAACTATAATACAGTATGCAGTTTTCTGAAAACCAAACGAAACTACATTCAACCTTTTCAGGTTCACAACAATAATCAGACTTCGACAGCATTTTTTTTTTGCAATGCAAGGAAGAGCTGCCAATATAATTAATCCAAAGCTGATATGTGTTTGTGGTCCTTGATTCTTCGTATGGGCAGCGCAGGCCGGCACTACGACGGCATAGATCGAGTACCGCAGTGTTTGCGTGCATCGTTTCATTGCCTAAAATTTTTGCACCTCTGAATGTCAACTACCTTAAAACTCTGAACCTCTGAATGTTGTATTATCTAAAGTGAGGTCTTGAACAGGGAGGCTACCTGGGCAACTGCGTGACCTGACGAGAACTTGCTAAGAGGAAGAGAATGGAGGGGAGAACCAGAAGGGAACTACTCACCAGGCGCTGGGGCCACGGCAGTCCGGGAACGTCGGTCTCCAGGGATGGGGCGGTCGAGCTGGGAGCTTGGGAGGGGGGCGCCGGGGCTGGGGTTGTGGGGCCGCCCGGGCTGGGGCAAGGGAGCCGCCGCCGATTTGCCGGCTGGGACCTCGCCTATCTCTCGGCAGCGGGTTGCGACGGCCTCTCGCCGGCGGTCGTGAAGAGGAGGGAGTGCGCCGGGCGAGGATGAGATCCTCGTCGTCTCTCCCTCGGCGGCGGCCGGCAGGCGCGGCAGAAGAATACGCATTAATCCATATATGGGATGAGTAGATTGGAGTGGAATTCGAAGTAAATTCTAGCTCAATCTATACCAACACATATGAATTGTGGTGCATCCAACAACATCAAAACAATGCCTTAGTGACTTTATTTGATGCATGTGTATCCATTTCAATCCACATGTGTTGGAGTGGATCGGAATGTGTAGTTTACTTTTCACTTCAATCCACTTGAACACAAGTGGATTGAGATATATGTGCATAAAAAAAGATCTCTGACGATGGTGCTGGTGGGGGCCTACACCATTACATGAGTGGCATCGAGCACGGAAGCGCAAATTAACCTCTTCAAACCCATGTTTCACCGCGGTAGCTCCAAGTGGCCACGTCGTCCCGAATTCAACCAGCGAGCCATGTCACCTAGAATTCCCTTCCATGGACACCGTTCGTCCACGTCACCCAAAAATCCACGTCCACAAAAATATCTCCCACCCCCTCCCCTCCCCATCTCAAAAAAAAACGCACCCATCCTCTCTCCCTCGGGACTTTTAACTTTTTGCCATCCTTAAGGATGTCACTCTTCCGTTTACCAGTCTTATGCGTGCTCCTATATAATTGACATCGCAAACAGTGCACCTCCTACGTTTTTGCCACTTTCGCTGATGTGGCACAGCGGGTGAGCATGCCAGCGTGGCAGCGAGCCTGAGAGTCTTAACTTGGCACGAGAAATGACCTATTTACCCATACGGCTTTTCTCCCTCTACTCTCTGACGTGTGGGCCCCACATGTCTTCATCTTTGGCCTCCGGCCATCACCACGCAGCGAGGATGAGGGGAGAGCCCGTGCGGAGTCCTGGGCGCGCAACAGCATGGGCGCGTGGCCCGTGGCCTGGGGCGCGCAACAGCCTGGGCGTGCGGCTCGCAGCCTAGGCGCGCGCCGGCCTGGGCGACGGCCGAGGGTGCCCAGCCAGTTTCGACCACGCAGCGACGGCGCTCAGCCAGTTCCGACAGTGCCCAGCCAGTGCTCGGTGAGGATGGTGACGCTGTAGGTGTCTAGGAACGGTGGTGTTGTTGAGCTCGCCGACGACGGCCATGGAAACGGGAGCTCAGTGCTTGGCTTGGGCTATGGCATTACGACTGGTGAGAACAAACTGATGCGTTGGTGATGTCGTGGAGCATCAGCCAGCAGGTAGCTTCTTGGACAAAGGCCTTGGATTCCCTTCCATTCTCATCGGCGTGCTCGAACGCTGGGCATTGTAGCCTTTAACAGAGCAGGACATGGAGCGAGGCGTTCTTGGCGGCTGAGCAGACAGGGCACGCGTCCACAGGGGGCCTTGAACGAGCGGCACGGCCACAGGTGCTGTCACGGGAGCAGCAGCACGCACCCACCGCCGCCGCATGCCTTGCAAGACGAGTAGACGACGTTGCAGCCTTGTCGCCATGCGCAGTGCACCCAGGCTGCCGGGCACGAGGCCGCGCGCCGCGGACAAGACTCCGCACGAGCTCCCCACGCCCCCTTCCCTCGCTGCGTGGTGATGACCGGAGGTTGAAGATGAAGCTGACATGTGGATCCTACATGTTAGAGAGGAGAGGGAGAGAAGCAAATGGGTAAATAGGTCATTTTCCGTGTCAAATTAGGGCCCCAACGTGGCGTGCCACATGAGCGAAAGTGGCAAAAGCGTAGGTGTGATGACAATTACGTAGGAGCGCGCACAAAACTGGCAAATGGAGGAGTGTCATCCGTAACGATGGCAAAAAGTTAAAAATCCCCTCCCCCTTGGTCTCTCACGAGCCGCGCCCACGCCGTCGCCCCCGCCCTCGTCGTCCCTTCTCTCTCTCTCTCTCCTGACGTGGCGGCATGCTAGCCCCCTCCTCCGTCTCTGCTTTCACCTCCCCCCCCCTCTCTCTCTCTCACGCGATGCCGCGGTGCGCCGGCCGGCGAATGGCGCGGGCGGGACGGCGGCGCACGGGTGCCAGCGAGCCCCCACGGGTGGTCGTCGCCGCGGCTGCCACCACCACGCGGTTTCCTCCCACCGCTCCGTGTGCGCTCCTGGGGTCAGCGAAACGTTGATACCCTAGGTGCCTGTGTTCGACGCCTCCGTCTGCTCGTGACCTCTTCGTCGGCGGCTCGGCTTGGCTCGGTGGCCGGATCTGGAGGTACCTTACCCTCTTCTTCCCCTTCTGTTGTTAATTGGGTTCCCATTATTGTTAGGTTGGTTCACCTATACCTGGTATACTTCTCTGCCATTTTTATTTTGTTCAATTTACTCCATGGTAGCTTGAGTGACACCGAAGTTTAAAATTTTTTATTGATAGTAAAATCAGAAGCAAAAAAAGGAAACTATAGATGAGAACGCACCTGGATTCCAAATGGTGATATGCTCGTGGATGGGTTGATCTTAGTTATTCAGTATGTGTTCTTGGTAAAATAATGCTTGCATGGTTTTGATCCTCTATGGGGTTATGTTTGTCTTTGCAGGATGGGACACATGTGCAGATCTTCTCAGGCGCTCAGTGTTATTGAATAACTATGGTATTCTTCTGATTTTTAGAAGACAACCATGGTCTAAATGGTTTTCCCTACACTCTCATCATTCTTCTGGAAATATATTTTCCATAGTTAATTAGCTATATATGGTTATAACTCTTATAGCTTAGCAAAATATATAGTGGTGGTGCATGCTATATTTATCCCAAATATTTTCAATGTGTACCATCCCCACCTCCATAAATATATTAGGTTATCTGTCTTTTGGATTGGGACAAAGAGAGTACTTGAGAGCCTTGTCATATGTGGTTCTAAGACTACCACTATGTATGAACTTTTATTTAGCCTTGCCAACTGATGTGGGCTCTCACTAATAATTTTTTTTTTCATATATATAGCTGTTGTCATACATATGAACTTCTATTTAGTTTTGTCAGCTGATGTGAGCAATGACCTTAACTATTTGTTGTCCTATTGCAGGTTCGAGGTCCTGAGCCTCTGAAGAAAGGAAGGGGTTCGGCTAAGTTCAGAGATAGCATTTTGGTCAGTTCTTGTGGCTCCTCTTGCTTGCTTGTGCAGTATTTGCACATTCTTCCCACTCCCATGAAACATAAGGTATTTGATTCAGTATGACAGGTTGCCACAACTTCATGTAGCGCATGTCTTCTAGCTAGGTTTAGGGAAAAACTAATTCTTGAATATTTTTATATTGCACCAGTCATGTTCCTTAATGGCATGTTTATTGAGAGATAATAGTTATGTACTGTCTAAGTCTTATTATTTCATACTAGCAATCAGACCGGCCACCAATGGTGCATGTCATTTTTATTTTGTTGATTTGTGGACAAAAGAAAATTGGTTTTCAAACTGAATTTACACAGCGAGCCACGTCACCCCGAATTCTGAGACCTATGCCCTGAAGGACCATGCAAAGCTCCTGCTAGAGGATATAACTTGCTATTCCCATTATCTTGCATGCCATAGCTACACTCATATAAATTATTGTGTACCAGGTACATAGTTGGTGTCTGATTGTATGCTTTTATGAACCTTTGCTATTTCTTCACAAAATTCCCTCTTCCAATGCCTGCCAAATATATGTAGACTATCATTTGCCATAATCTGAATAGTGTCTGCCTGTCATATTTTAGGATAGAAAATTGCTGAGATGGTCAGGGTATGCTTCAACATTGCTGCTATGTGGTTTGGTGGTCGACATCTATGCAGCACGGATACGGATACGCGTATCGGTATTGGAAGGATACGAATACGCGGATACGGCAATTTCCTAAAAAACCCGATACGTGGATACGTTTTACTATTTTTTAAATAAAAATAGATAATAGCGCATATTAAAATTGTGAAAGACTGAAAGTAGTAAATTACCTTGCAATAGCAATTGCCAGCCAAAGCAAAGACCGGAACTCCAGAAGCATCTCCATTCTTCAATTGTCCATTCTCGAGTTCTCCAAGACTCCAAGTCCAGAATTTGCATAGAAAAACCAACTATTAATCAATTTATTACTAAAACTTGAGTATTCAGTAATCAGTAGTAGTTCAGTACATCACCTTCTACTACTAGTGTACTGGAGTCTGAACTCTGAAGTAGACAGGAGAGGAGAGGACAAAGGAGTATTGTTATTTAAAACTGATAACAATAAAACATTGCAATTAACCACTTAAGTATACTATTATTACAACAAAGCAAGTTCCTATTCCTCATTTGTTTCATTGTCATCCACAACATGAACCTACGGATCATCCAAACCATAAGACACAGCTTGCAATTCAGGTTCATCAAAGGACAGGTCAGCCACTTCAAGAATGCCAATACCACCAAGTGAATCAAAAGAATCCCCTCCTACATCCCACATCATTGTCTCTCCTGTCTTGTATGCATCAGTTCTTCTAGACAGATGCCTTAGATTTAAGTGCACAAAGACCAAATCTTCAGCATGCTCGGCAGGCTAGATATGTGTCGGATGGCGTATCCAATTTGCATGAAAATAATAAAAAAGCGGATACTCCAAGGATACGTATCCTAGGCGTATCGAACACATATCCGTATCCGATACGTATCGGATACGCGGCTTTAGGAACGTATCCGTGTAACATAGGTCGACATTGCAAGGCCAGGGGTTAAGGATACAGAGTCTGGTACCCAATGAGCCAAAAAACTCACTAATAATGCTCCTGTTATGGCTACAAGGAACCTATCGTTTTCTAAGTTATTGTACTGTGTTGTTATCGTCCACCATATAATATCAAACATTGATTAGTCAAGTTCTTCGGCGGGATCTTCATGCCAACTAGATACTATTCCATGCTTATGCTATTCATCTATTGTTCCATGTTTATGGTAGTCACTGAGCTACCCAGTTCAACTAGATTGTTGCCCTACAGAAAACCTTCTTCTCCATTGCTGCCAGAGATTACCTATGTGTGTCTTCATGAGGATTCAGATCCAGTCAGTACCGACGCAGCTGCAGCCTCGCTCCTCTCTTTGCTTTCAGTTCTATGTTAATCTTGTGCGGTTGCCAGTGTGGATGTGCTTACCGGTGAGCACATTAGCCTACTGAATTTTGGGTTCAAGAATATTTTTTTATCCACGCATGCCAACTACTGCTTCCTAAAATGCTGTCCTACATATATGTTGGATTCTTCAAACTGCAATACTTTACTTCTTAGGCAGTGTATTGTTACTCCATACTTATTTCATCAAATTTCCTCAAATGGTCAGACCAATTATTAAGTTCCAGTTATGCAATTAGATGCTTTCCGCTCAGTTTGAGGTCTGAAATAGATTGTTGCTCCATAGTTAGTTAGTCAATCCTTCTACAAAGAAAAAAAATCCTTCTACATAGATTATTGTTTTACAATTGTTCACTGACAAAAAAAAATCTTGTTAGACAAATAACTCCCTAATGCTACAGGATAGAATTGTATCTGACTCTAAATTGCTATAGGAATTGTTATGGAACATCTCTTCTCATTGGCTCTGCAGCTGAGATCTTCCTGGGACATTGCATTTCTGCAGTGTAGAAGGCCACATGGTCTATGGCTTTACCTTTGAAATACCAGAAGAGTACAGCGCCGTACCATGCCTCTACTAAGAAAGAGCTGCTGTGGATATGAAGGCGAAAATTAAGGACACTCCCAACATTGAAGATTGTTTATTTCGGATACTTCTGGATGGATATATGCCTCCTGTGACTGCTGCAAACTTCAGAGATCTGGTCTAAGTGGATCATAGCTTACAAGTTGTAAATATGATTGTTCATGGAATTTCAATTGTTCATTGCAGTATATATAGATAGAACAGAAAACAAAGGTAATTCAGCGGTATTTCCTACCAATCAAGTCGCTTCTGGTCTAACGGAAGTTCTATGATGCCATGGAAACCCAGACAGGTAATTCAGCGGTGTTTCCTACCAATCAGTCCCTTCCTTGCATTATCCACCATTTGTTACTCGGTTTCAATTTCATAACCGTTAAGTTTTATTAGGCATCGGTTTTTTTTTGGGAAGTAGTATATACTATGTACTCCTTTTAAACAAGTATCATATGCATTTCTGCAGTTCTGAGGCCATCAAAAAGGATAATATATGTTTCCTAGAAATTTCTTAAACATTACACTTCATCTAACCGTTACAGTGTTCAATATTTTAAATGGCCTATTCTGCCTACGGGTCAGTGAGCTTTTGCTGAAACGGGTTGGTTCTTATGCAGCTGATGCCTTTGTTGTTCGACCTGGAGATCCGGAGGTACCAGCTGCAGGGGTTTATCGAACCAAGCACTATCAAGATTGTTATAATACTTATAATGGTTCATGGTGAAAAGGCTCATGTATATGGTGAAACACTTGAAGTATGCACAAACAACCTTTTTCTCTTAGTCCTTTCATTTCATTGGTGCTTTAGTTTTTTTGCTGTTGTATTTGAATAAGCCCTTCCTTACGTTACATGGGTCGTTTTTGAGGAACTCGACCGCAATCTGCATAGTATATAGAGTATTCTACCATGAGACAATTGCATTCCATGACACGAATTAGTTCCTACAACTGAGGTGGGCTCCGCACCCATTGACGCCATCCATGTCTTCCTGATTAAAATTAGACATTTGATTGTCCCGGTAACTCCTTTGATCCGTCCACCTGCCTTCTTAGTTTTTTGGGTTGCTGTTTGTCAGGCAATAAATGAAAGATTCGTCCAGTCATCATTCTTACTGAACCTTGCCTTCTTCACACTGTATCATGATTGTGCGGGCCTAAATCGCAGTAAGGTTGCTCGACAGAACATATTCACTCAACCTCCCTGAACAATTGCCCGAGCATCATATGATGACAACCGCAGAGACATCTGAAAGAAGTATTTCAAAGGTCAGTTCTCAACTCTCAACAAATTAGTTCATCGTCTCGACGCCACTTGCCTTTTCCACACTGTATCATGATTGTGCGGGCCTCAATCGCAGTAAGGTTGCTCGACAGAACATATTCACTCAACCTCCCTGAACAATTGCCCGAGCATCATATGATGACAACCGCAGAGACATCTGAAAGAAGTATTTCAAAGGTCAGTTCTCAACTCTCAACAATTTAGTTCATCGTCTCGACGCCACCAAGTTGTTTCAAAAAGCTTAATAAAAGCTGTTAGGATATAAGTTGACCACTGTTTTTTGGGTGCGCTCTACCATAACCTTATTCTCCAAATTTCTTTTTACATAGTCTACATGTTTATAGTTCTTTTACATTGATGAAATAATACATTATACGTTGCTGGTGCATCCTGGCGTACGCCTGCAGCATGGGCTCAGCATGAGTGCGGAGCTATATTTATTAACAGCTGACTTAATGTCTAGCAAGCCACACGACCACCTTGTTTGACCTTTTGTCCCAATGTTCTTTGAAAGCTATTTGTTGCGTAAAATCAGAGGAACTAGCCACACCCGCGCTTTGCTGCAGGTGATGTGCTTAGCATAGAAATCGGTATAGGAAATCTTAGGGAATATACCTCATATGTCTAATATGTTTTCTCATCGCGTTGTCATGAAAGGTCAGTCTATTTTGTACATTAAATGTTGGGAAAATATGGGAAGACAAGGTAACATGTTTTTTTTCATTAGAATATTGTAAAGGAACATAGAGGTTGGTTGTCATTACATGGTGCCTATTCTAGGCCAGCAAATCAATAACATGTTAGTGTAAAGAATTATTTGATGGAGTTGGGCTCAAGCAACTAACACACTCAGATTCAAAGCACAACATTGGGTAGGATTACATTATAGGTGGAAAGAGCAAAAACTACAATACAAGTACATCTCTTGACGCAAGGGTTACAAAAGAGTGAATTAGGATCCACTCCCCTTAGGCGAAAGGACGTCTACATAAAACTATTAAAGTGGGGGGCTCAAGCACCTAACTCCAGTAGAGCCAAAGCATTACATTACGTGGGACTACATAGTAGGCAGGAAATGCAAGCACTATAATACGGGTACATATCCTCATGCACAAAACAACTCCGAAAGGCTTGGCTTCGGACTGTATTTGCTTCATTCCATGAGGGGGGGGGGATGTGTCCACTAAGATCATGCTTCGGAGCTTGAGGGATCCTTCGGGAGGATGGCATGAGAGCAGGCACCATCCCCTGGTGGTGGCTGAGTGAGTGGGAGGATTTCTTCTCCATTAACTGACCCTGTGTCAGAAATTACCTGTGAGGCCTCCGTTGGGGGAGGCGCGGGGGGCACGTCCAGTGCCTGGATTTTTTCCATGGATGCAATTGGGATTCCATCTAGTATGGGGCACTCCCTCTCTTCCAAAGTGAGGGTCCTTCTCTTGGCTCTAGTGACAAGGTAGAAATCCTTCAGCTGTTGACTATGCCGATCTTCAGCTTGCTTGGAGCCTTCAATTGCTGCAGCCTCACGGCTCTCCGCTCTAGCTGCTTGTGCCTTAGCCTCGGCAAGCTGCACTTCGAGGCTTCTGATCTGCTTCTCGGCCTCCTCTGTTCTACGAATGGACTTCATCAAATCGGCGGCCTGCCTGTCATACTGCTCATCTAGGAAAAGCAAGTAATCAGACATGAACACCGTAGTTGGGTCATCTTCCCGTAATCCGACCCCTTCTAGGGTCCTCATCCGAGCTACCCATATAGGGCTGCTCCTTACCAAAGGGGGGAAGAATCTCATGGGTGTACGACATATCTGCTTCTCATAAATTTGGCATAGGTACCTCAAAGCCTTGCGAGCGGCAACTTGGTAAGTGTCCTCAAAGCGAAACCCTATGGTAGACACCACCCATGGTATTGTGTCAGGAAAATCCTTACTTGCTCCGACATAAACGATCACCTCGCACCGCTCTGTACCATACTCCTCATATTCCCTACCAACATATTCTAGGTGGTCCAAAATACCTAGCTTGGTCATGGTTGCATATAGAAGCTTCGGGAAACCAGGCGTGTTCAAGCAGTAGCTAGTGGTCCAAGCTTCATCCACCATCTATGAGGAAAAGAAGGGGACGTCATGTCTGGAACATATAGGAGAGGGTAAGATTTATGTAAGGATGCTTATACCTTGGTCACCTTAATGAGGCCAACGGTGAAGAGGAAGGCAGTTGTAGCTGGTGGATTCCTTTATGGGAGCAAGCAAAGGGGGGGGGGGAAGAGCAACGATGCTCGATGGAAAGGTAGTTCAATTAGGTTACGCTTCAGAGCTTGAGGAATCCATCCTTCGCCATCGCATTTTATAGCTGCCCGGATGCCACTCTGTCTTGTAACCTAAGAACCTTATTTAATGTGGGGGGCTATTGCATCGATGTGGATGGCGTCGTGGAGTGGGATGGGCGGTGGTGAGGTGATATCTGTGGAAGTGGTTGTTGGGCACCTAAGGGGCATGCTCCTTTACTCATGAGCATGCGCGAGCCTTTGGCTAGGCATTTAATTGGCTATTCATTCCCGTCTTTCCATACAGGGGAGGTAAGGACAGCTGTTGTAGGTCCCTCTTATGAGAAACCACCACTGTTGTGCGGTCCCATCATTGTCGCTCGGAACACTAAAGGTATGACCATGAATGATGCACCACGTTCAGGGTCACGAACTAACGTATGTATCCCTAGGTTGCCAACCTCCGACCATATGCCCTACTACCAAGAGTACGCTCATAAAGACAACGTGACCTATAGACAGACCAGCATATAGGTACAAATATAAATGGGAATGAGGAACCTAGGAAGTGGGAGCATATGAAAGTGAGAAGAAGACAATTATGGCAACCTTAGACTGCATAAAAGTCTCAAGGGTAGCCCTCACAGAATAAGAAAATCGATGGCCTCAATAAAAAGTCAGCTTTGATGTAAAAACTATGAGGACAGATCATCGGTTTCCCCAACGCAACGTAATGTTTGTTGTCCTGTGGTCCACACCAGGCTCAT